AGCCCCAACCGGGGGCCGCGCCGTCCCTGAGCCGGGAACTGAGCTCCGGCAACGCCGGGATCGGGGGGAGCCGCTTCGAGCTGTTCAAGAGTTTTAAAAGCGCTTCTGCGGGGTGTGAGGGAGGAGCGTTGGGGTTAACCATTCTCCCTTAAAAAAAAAAAAAAAAAAAAGAAAGAAATAAAATAATAAAAATTAGCTACAAGCGGTGCGTTTAGTAATTAAAGCGATTCGTGTGGAAGAATAACGGTTGTTAAGCGAGGTGGTCGGCGTGGCTCCGCGTGTGTGCGATGTGCGGGCACTTCGCTCGTTGGGCTTTTCGGAAAGGCGGCCGTGCTACGTACGCGCTGCCCGCGGACCGTCGGTGCCCCTCCGGTCCCCCGCCTCGGCCGCGCTCCCAGCTGTGCTCGAGGGTGGGCGAGTGGGGAGGCGGCGGGAGGGGGGGCAGCCTGTGCAGAGCCCGACTTACTGCTTCACATCGGCTGCAGTACGTCCAGAAAACTACATTTAAAAAAACAAGAAAGCAATATTCTCCGTTCTTCTTCCTAAAACAATTCCCTATATGCAGATACAGAGCTTTTGCTCACGATTGTATTGTTCGGCTATGAGGTATATTTTTGCAGTGATATATATTTTGCGACGCTACTTATTTTTGCTGCGGTATCTATATTATTATTACAGCGTTGCAGTCGGAGCTCTCCCCTTGCCGTTCAGGAGCTCCCCGTGGGGCGGTGCATCCCGCCCCGAGCCGGGGCTGTGCTGTGCCGCTTTGCCGCACTTCCGTCCCCCCGCGTTATTTGTCGGTGGCACTTTTAGGAGCACCGCTTCTCGGCGCTCCCCTCCCCGCCGCCGCCGCTCTCTCGGCCGCTCGGAGCCGTACGGGAACCGCTCCCGGAGAGCGGAGTGGAGCGCCGCGATTCATGAGCCGGGGGCGGAACGGGAACGGCGGAATGCAATGAACGGGCGTTACTACCGGCTCCGGCCATTGTTACGAGAAAAGCTGCGATAAAACTCCAGCGGGGGCTTTTCTCAACGTGGTCCCGTTCAACTTTTCACGAGAAGTCAATGTTGTTTAAAAGCAGCGCTGAAGGTCCGAGGCAGCGATGTGACCGCGGCGTTCCCTCTCGGAGCGGAGCGGTGCGGGGACGCTCGGTGGGACCCCCCCCGGGCGGGGCGGGGGACAGGAGGGACCTCGGGCTCCGCTCCTCGCAGCCCCCCCACCCCCATCCCGCCTCGGGGTGAGACTCCCGCACGGTCACAGGGAGGAAAAAAACATTCGGTGGTGGAAGAAAAGGCGATTAAATTAAATTACTTTGGGGATTACGGGCCACATGCGGTGTATTAAAGTACTTTAAGCTACTTTGTAGCTTCTTTGGCATTAGGGCGTTTAATACAGGCTCGGTCGGTCTGCACGAGTGCTTTGCTGGATGAGAAAGTGCGTGGTGGGAGAGAGATGGGATGCAGAGGAAAAGCAGACGGGAGAGGCACAGAAATCTCGGGCTCTGAGAGCTTTGCTTTGCTCCATGTAAACAAAATCCGGCTTTAATTTGCCGTGCTATAAACAATAATTTTCTAATCGGGGTTACTGATACGAAAGGAAAATGACCGTCTGTAAGCAGGGATCTGAAATGGGTAATGCCGCCCGGGCAGCGTGCTTTATATATTGCCGGTGAGGCTCGGGGACAGCCGCTGCCAACACCCGGCATGCAGTGTCCGGCCGGGACGAGGGCACAAACGTCGGAGGTTTGAGGCTGAGGAATGAGAAAGTTCGATTCCTTTCCCAGATCTTTTCCCCCGCACACGAGCAGTTCAGTCAGGCTGTGCGTCGGCCGTCGGTAGACTTGTGAGATGGAGGTTCGGATCCGCAGCAGAGTGGGGAGCTCCTGGAATCATGGAGCGTGTGTCGCATTTCTCACTTGGTTCTGGGTTTACCCAGAGAGAAAGGTTGGCGAGTGCTGGGGGTGGGGGGGGAGGGGGGGGGAACGGGAGGACGAGGAGGTTCCCTGCTTATTTTTCCCTGAGGCAAATATCTCTTCCATGATCGAGGGAAGAGGCAGCAGTGTTTTTGCAGTGGTGCGAAGTGTGGCTGTTGCTAGAAATGCTTCTCACTTTGTTCCTGAAAAGTGTGCCAGATGCACTGGAGAGCTCGCACCGCTTTATTTATGTAATGCGATGTGAGGAGGAACGGGGGGGAGTTCTCCACCCCTGGTGCAGCCGATTTGGCTAAATTTGCAGTGCTGTGCTGCAAAAGTTACGTGCTCATTTATCCCACTGGCCAGAACAGAGGGGCCTCTCCTTGCTGCTGCATCCCTGCTCCCCGAGGATGCTGCTCAGAAAGCCCACTGCCCTCAGCGTGCCCTGTGCTCAGCTCAACCTGCGTTAGCCAAAGGGCTGAGGGCTTCGTGTCCCACGCTAAGGGATCAACCACGCACTGCTGGGCTCATATAGATTGCAGCAGGAGCTCCCTGCTCTGCCACATCCCGGCCCCAGGCACAGAGATGGGAGCATGGAGCCCTCACTGTGAGCAAATGAGGGTGAGTTAATGGGGTGCACCCCACGGGCAGGGGCTGGGGAACTTCTCGCCCTGCAGTCAGGTTTTTGCTTCTGTTCCAAAGAGCTCCTAAAACATAATAAGTAGAGTAGAGAGAAAACAAGCGTTTCCCTAAGTGGGACCACGCTGCTCTTCCCAGCTGCCCGAGAAACAGAATGTTTTGATGAAATCAATTATGATGTATACGAAACAATTTTACTCTTAACCAGCTGCCACCTTATTTCCTGCCATGTTGATCTATTCAGACACAGTCACTTTTTCTTCCTTAAGAATATATATTTGCTCGAGGAGAGACATCAAAAACTGGGTGGATAATTCCTATGATCCAGTGCTGTCCTAAGAGAAAGCAGCGCTCGGAATCAGAAAGCAAACAGCATGGAGACAGTGCTGGGTCCTGCTGGTTTCCCCCCGAAAGGGCTGGTTGGTCCCCCTGCCCTCGCTGTACATGCAGCACATGGCAGGCACAGATCTCGGCCCCTGGGAAGGGGCATCAGGACCCTTTGCCCTCTCCCCGTGTGCCCTCTCCTCTGTAGAAACTCCTGGTGGCACACAGAGGCCTCTGCTGCACCGAGCGAGATTCACACACTCTTGGGAGCTTTAATTAGAACCATGCTGCATGCAGTACTTTCATAGCTTCTCCAATTTATTATTTATGATTTAAAGCAACGACAAAACAACATGAAAATATTTGCTTGTTAAGGAAAAAAGACGTGGTGGCATAGGGCAATAAGCATTTAAAAAAAATAATAAATAAGAGAATTTCCATAGCAGTGCCCACCTGGTGCAGTACCTGGCAGTGCCTACCTGGTGTGTAGGGTCGCAGTGTGCTCAGAGCCCCATCTGCTGGGTCACTGCCATCACATGGAGGTGCCGCGTCCCCGTCTGGGATGGGGAAAACACCGCACAGAGAGGTACGGAGGGTTTCACGGGCAGATACTGGTGCTCTGACACGTTTTCTTCTCCGTTAGTCCTTCCTTTCATCAGCACGGCAGAAAAAGAGGCTGCTGCAAGCTCTGCATTGACAGCGGTCATTCAAACTGCTGCTGGGAGAGTGTGACGGGCTGTAGCTGTAGCGTTCAGGCTGTAGCAGACGGTGCCGTGGCCGTGCTGTTTGTTCAGCTTGTTTCCCGGCTGAGAGGCGCGCACCCAGCCGCACGCCGACGGCTCCGCTGGTCACACTTGCGCTCTTTGAAGTTCGGGTGTTTGTCGGCACTCGCACCCCCGGCTTTGCTTCTTAAAGCCCACCGAGATAGCAGCTTGGAGTGCTGTGCAGTGTTGCCTTCTCCTCCCGGCCGCTGCCAGAAACAACACGGCCGCTCTGAGCGAGGACGGGTCGGTGTCTGCGCCGTGAGGGGCAGCCCGTGCTGTGCGGCTGCCTTCCCCCAGCGGGCAGGAGGCTCTCCGGGGTGCTGTGTGCGCTAGTACAGAACCTTGGTTGGTAGGGGCAGCCCTGAAACTAAGAGGAAAAATTAAAATAGGTGCAGCTGTGGCTGGCTCTGACTGAGAGGGTTCGGAGCACAAAGTGAAACGGGGATGCAGCAGAAACTGGGTTACGTGGCTCTGAGTAAATGCTCTCCCGTCAGAGCAGGATTTATTTTACATCACTGCTCTAGTTCTTGTCCTGAGGATGTTTAACTCACTCGGAGCTGTTTGGTCTCCAGGATGGATTCCTACAATTATGTGTTTGTGATTGCGAGCACTGCCACGGGAAGCAGCAGGAGGATATCATTTTGGGAGTGCTGGGAGGCACGGACGGAGCTGGAGAGCCTTCTCCTGGGCTTCAGCCACTGCTACACTTCGGAGGGAGGCTGCAGAGCGCTTCGGGCCTGACGTGCTTCTGCACTTAGCAGCTTGAATAACAGGGCATCAGATGGGTATTACTGCATCGCTGTAACTTTAAACTTCTTCCACGCAGTGACAACGTGCAGTTTGGGGCTGTGCGCAGTGCTCACCTCAGGCGTGTTTTCAGAGTGCTCACAGCAGGCAACGAACACGGCCTGCCCGAGGCCCCGTGGCTGCAGGCCTGCAGGGCTGGGCATGGCCTCGCACAGCCCCACGCGCTGCACAACCTCAGTGAGCTGCCCAGCGCCCGCCTGCTGCCCAAGGATGCTCAGAGCACCTCGGTCACACGCCGCGGTGCGGAGCCTGGGGACGCCCGGCTGTGGGAGCCCCAGCTGGGACGAGCCGTGACCGAGGCCGGTTCGTGGGCATCTATCTCAGCTATCTGCCTGAGCCCCGTGCCAGATGTGGCTCGAAATCCTCAGATGCCCTCTGCTGCCATGGACCAGAATTAACAGATGGCTCCGTGTAACCAGGTTTAGATTTGCTGAAGTTTTTGCTATTATTTCTGCTTTTGTAAATGGATGGGGGAGGGGAAATAATATCTGGGATTATTACAAAACAGGCAGAGCTTTTTAAAAAGTGTTAAGTCTGGGGCTGGGTCCCTTCTGACTGTGAATGCCATTGTCCCATATTTCAAAATGTTAACACTATTTTTAGCTTTCTCTTCAGAGCTCCCTCCCCTGATAGCTTATCCCTCTGGGTATGAGTTTGGCCCAGCGAGCCGCCTAGGGCACGGCACACTTTGCCCCAGCATTTTGGGCCCCATTGTGTCTGATGGAACCAGCTCTGCTGTCGTGGCCCAGCTCTGCTCAGCCACACACATTCAGCTGCCCGATGTCCCTCTGCTGGCTGGCTTGTTGAGGGCCTGTATCTGAAGTGGGACAGGTGGCACCTATGTCCCACACATGTGCCTGCATCAGTTCTGTGTGCAGTGATACACACAGCAGCCCTGGAACACAACAGATCCTGGAGGGGATCCCATGGCAAGCTCCAAGAATTGAGCAGCTTTGCTGTGCCTGAGCTTTCGCTCTGCCTGAGCTTTTGCTGTTTCTCAGAGCAGCTCCTATGAGGAAAAGCCAACCAAACCTCCCCACCTAAGCTCCCAACCTGATTCCCAATGGAGAGTACCAAGGTGGTCTGTGCCCCCTTTCTGTACAGTGCCATAGCCACCTCATGTCCTGGGGCCAGCTGCTTGCTGGGACAGGATGGGATGGGATGGGATGGGCATTCCCAGCCATCCACCACTTTTAGCTACACAGTTCTATGCTGCTTGCATTGTTCTAAAGTTTGCTTTGTTTTCTTTCTTTTTTTTTTTATTTTTTTATTTCTCTTCTAGAACATAATCTTGAATTTACGGAAGTCCATGGCAAAATCTGGTTGTGAAGGGGGCTATTTTCTGCGAGACTATTTGTGAAGATTCCTGGCTCTCTGCCTTTGTGTACAAGGCTGACACATGGCCCATGCATCCTCACTGTGCCTAGCAGCATGCCCACTCCTTCCAGAGCTCTATTGCAGGGATGCACATAGCCCTCCAGTGGATGGGCTGTATTCCATCACTGTGGCAAACCTGTGGAGCTGTGATAGCTTATAAAACTTGACAGCATGGTCCATTGCATGTACGTTTTCTAAATCCATATTTTTCCAATTTTTTTTTTCCTGTAGTGGCAAGTTTTTTTCTATCCATCTGGGAGCAGAATCCTGTGCTCAGCGTATGTAAATAACAGCTGTTTCCACTCAATTGCATTTATGTACTTAACACTTCAAAATAGTTTTTTTCTAGAAGTTTCACAATCTAGTCACCATCCATGCTTAAACAGAGGTACTGGGGAGAGGTTAATGAAACCCCTCTGGACTGGCTGACAAAAGTATACAGCTGCAGCTCTGGAATCCCCACACAGGACGGATTGCTGATGCTGACAGCCATGCTCCGATGCACTGTGGAGGCAACTTCATTCCTGAGGCAGCCTCAGCTCTGGCTTCTGGGGCTGCTGCGGGGGTAGCAGGGTGCCAAGTGAGGAGAGGAGCTGTGCTGGTAGTGCCTTCCAGGCAAAGTTAATTTGTCATGTAGAGCAGCTGAACAGGAGGAAAAATGGCAAGTAATTTAGAGGGAAAAGCTTATCTGCCAGTGTCGCAGATTTTTAAATGCATTAACCTATTGCATCCTGAGAAGAAAGGGAGCTCTTTAATGCTCTGATATATCTTTTGTTGTAATGTCACTAGCTCTGAAATGAAAATACAGCCTTTTTATTTTAAAATGCCTCAATGAAGATTTCAAGAAATTAATGTTCGATTATTATTTTTGTCCAGAAGCCTCATTGTTTTTCCAAATGGCTCAACCTGAGCTATTTCATTAGACTTTTGGATCCTCTGAAGGCCCAGGATTACAGAACATTGATATTTAGTTACCCTTCATTCACTCCATTTACTCTGATGCAGACTGCTGAGAGCTGTGTGTTCCTAAATCCGGGCTGTTTTTTATGTTACTGTATTTTTTATTTTGCTTATTCAGAAGAAAAATACTTTGATGTTTACTGCCGTCTCAACTGGAACACCTGTGAACTGGGCAGGACCATGCTGAGGACTCAAGGTGTGCGGAGAGAGCAATAACTGCGTGCGAGCTGTTGCTCTCACACATCCCGACGTGCCTGTGCCACAGTGTTTATAAGAGGAGCAAAGAGGACCTGAGCTTGGGTTGTCTGTGAGAACAGCCACCTGCTCCCACAGGGCATGTCTGTACTTCTGGATAAGAACATTCCTGATGTTACCGCTGTGCCAACGTGGCTCCTCCTGGGCTCCTCCTGCTTCCCCACTCCACAGCACTGCCTGCACTCTGGTGCTGTGTGGGTCCGATGTGGAATGATGCCTTCTTGCGTTTCTTTCAGTTCAGAGTGCCTGAAATGAGGTGAAACAGCTCTGCAGCCTCCGAGAATGGTGCTTCCCTAGTGTGAACACGAGGTACACGTGTGTTTTGGGGCGTGGTAATGTCTGAGGGTGAGCAGCCATCTTGGGTTGCTCTGGGCAGAGGCACAAGAAGGCCTGGCCTTGGGAGCAGGCTCTTCACTGCTAGAGGGTCCAGCTGGGAGAGGCTGGGAGAGGGCTGAGGGGTATATGGTGAAGCAGTGTAGGTGCTTAGCAGCCCCAAGCTTGAGCTCGGTGCTCAGGCTCAGAGGGGCCAGCCTGACTGCCTGCTGCTGGGCCGAGCTGGCTGGGCGCGAGTGGCACTCTGCAGGTGGTGTGCTTCACTCCTAAGGAAGCACTGGGCTTCTAAGGGGTCATTTCCTCAAGTCACGAGTTAAAGCCTCAGCCACGTTGAAGCAACACAGCCAGCAGCTCGAGGGCCAGGACCAGCCAAGCAGTGTGGGGGTGCTCACCACTGCCACCTGCCTCAGGGCTGCCCACACCCTCCCTCCTTCCCAGGCTGTGCCCCAGCCACCGTCACCGTGTCGCCTTTCAGCCACCATTGGCCTCTTTGAGCTTCATTTCAAGTCTTTTTTTTTTTTTTTTTTAATTAAACAAATACAGCTGTATAAAGTCAATGAATTTTAACCCACAGGGCCAACACAACACACGTGGAGTGTTTGCTGCAGTAGGTTTGAACATACAAATTCACACTCTAGGAAGAGAAGTGCTGGGCCATTTTTCTTATTCTCCGTGTATGGCGAGCACTTTGCTTGCACTGTGTGTGCCTTCCCCCTTGATCAGAAATTCTTTTTCTTAACCAATTGCTAAAATCCATGGAACTCGTTGCCACGGCCAGTTTCCCCATCACTAAATGCAAGATTTTAACGGCATAAAAAATGGGATGGGAGTAAGACAGTTTTATAAAGATGTAAGGTATTCATAGAAAACAACAAGCAAATCCTGACATCAAAGTGGGGACATGATTTAGTGATGAAATACTGGTGGTAGCGAGATGGTTGGACTGGATGATCTTGGAGGTCTTTTCCAACCTTGGTGATTCTATGATTCTAAGTCAGGACTAAAAAATATAGAATAACCAAAAAATTGAGAGGGAACATGAACTTTTATATTACCATAAACAAATGTAAACAAACAGACCTTTTTTTTTCCTGGAATTACTTTATTGACTGGAAGCCTCAGAGTGCCTTAACGAAAGCAGAAGAGCATGTCTGCAGCACAGCCATTTTGTTATTTGTTGTGTTTGTCTTGTGTAGCTACCCGGAGGTAACAGAGAGAACCATGGGCTCATCAGAAGAGGGAGTATAGAGATGCATAAAATAAACACCTCTTGTTTATTCAGAATAAATAGAATGAAAGAAAAAAAGATTAACAGCTTCACTACTAACTTTTAGTATTGGAGAGCTGATGAAACAAAAGGAGGTGAGAGATTAAAATCCTATACACAGTTATTAAGCATGTGCATTACTGCATGCAGAGAACAAAAACCAGGAAGTTAGAAAGCTGTTGCAGTGAAGGCAAAACACATTGCTTCATTTGCTTAGCAAGAGAAAACTGCTTAGTCTTTAAAATATTTTGCTGACTTTCTCATCTCTTCATTCAGGACTTCTGTATATGGACTACATGCTAGTAAAGCTTAGCAGGAACAGCAAAAAAGAAGTCTTCACCTTTAAGCAGAGTACTTCTATATTTCTGTCTCTGCTCACAAACTGCTGCCCTACCCTCCCAACTCAACCAACCAAAAAATAATTCCCAAACACAATAAAACTACCTTTATTTGCTATGAAATTTGTATCTAAATCTCTACTAAGCTCCTCCTCCCTTCACAGAAGAGAGAAAAGCACCTCCAGAAAACAATCTGTGGCTTATTCCAATCTTTTTTTTTTTTTTTAATGGGATTTACTGCCTTGTTGAGGTACTTTGTATGCGTGCCTATTGACTATAAGGTGAGTCTGTGACAAGTAACTCAGATTTACATGTCTAATTAGTAGTTGCCTCAGTGTTAGGAAACAAATCTAGCTCTTACATATTGTAGGTATACAATTAGTCTGAACTTCATTCTTGTGAAAACTGGGCTCTAAGTCAATTTATTCTACAGTAGTAATAAAGTGAGACACACATCCTCCATTACAGGAGAGGAAAGCAGCCTGCACAGCCTATGTCTGCTTGTTCATGTAATTTTGTACTATTTTTCAGGATGGAATGAGCACGTGGGAAATTGTAACAGTGCACCATGAAAACTGGAATAACTGAGAAAGCGCTGACATCAAACATAAATTCCTATTGTGATACATTATAGAGCTGCAGGCACAGTAGAATTTGGAGATGTCAGGTGAACTCCAGGCCCTCCCAACAGCCAGCTTTTCCATGGGGCTGAATAGGGGTAGGGAGATGGGGTGGCTAACCGCTCCCTCCATTCTTGTCCCGAGGAGCTTGAGCACACAGACATGAAACTCGTCAAATGGGCCCATTTGGCAGTGCTGTACTATTGACTCAATTTTTCAAAACCACCAGGGTTGGATGTTTCTTGTTGTTGTTGTTGTTTAATATGTATGAAGAAAGATACAGCTCTGATACATTAGAAAAGTCAAATAGTTCAAAGCAAACAAGAAAGTGCTAGAAAAGAACCTTTGACCCTTTGAATCCAAGCACTTTCAGACCTCCCAGGAAATCTCTTATTCGTCAGTACTTGCAAATTTAATTAAGTAACAGCTGGCGCGTGTCTCTCATAGCGTTAAGTCCCACCATCTATGGCTTCGAACAAATCCAGGAGAGCCACTGTGCAAGGTTGCCTCCCGGTGGTGGTACCACGAACCTGCAGAATGACAGAATCTGCACACAGAAAAGGCAAAAAACCCGTTTGAAAGGAACGCTTCCTTTTTGAATTCAGGTCTACGTAGAGTAAGTGAAAAATTTCAGTGTGATTTTAACGGCCTGAATTGAGGACAAACCTTTTGATACACGACTGAAGCAGAGCTTTCTAGTGGAATAGCATACTGACAAGGAAAGCTCAGAGACTTTCAGTACGTGAAAAAAAAGCTAAAAATCAGTAAGCTGTACCCAATTGCACACTATCCACAGCAGTGAGCCTCCTGAAGTCTGAAACAATAGCTATTAAGCACAAGGCAAATGGCTGAGTGCCTTAAGTTGGATACAAAAGCACTACAGCAGATTTCCCATTCTACCAATTCTATGTAACTCAGATTTTCAATTACGAAGTTAGCAACAAGAGGAGAAAAGACAACAGAAAGTCCCAAACTACCTTTCAGATTGATTGTTCTTTTAGGTAAAAGCAGGAAAAGACTCCAGCAGATGGATTTCCAATTCCAAGTCTTCAAGTAAAGAGAAACACACAGTTAAAAGACAGCTTTATGTAGCTGTTCAAGATGATGAAAGCCAGGACAACTTGAAATGACTGTGGGAATAGGAGTTTAGTTGGGTCACGCTTCAGATGACCCAGACGAAAGATTTAGTGTAAGAAAACAGAAATATTGGCAGCGTAGTGCAGGGAAGGATTTTAAAACACCCATTTTATGGATTAACGTAACAACAAATTGGCAGAGGGTACATGCAGTGAGTGTGTTTCAGACTCATTCAGTTCCCAGTAACTGCTCAGAAGAGGAAGTGCTTTAAATCAGATAGCAGTCCCACACACAACAGATTTTTAGTGCTCCAAATACCTAAGGAGTGTTCAAAAACATTTGGGAAAAAGTGAGAAATGTAACAACATTTCTGCAGCGACTGCAGATGATGAAGCGTCAAGTTTGACAGACAAGGACAGACAAACGCAGTGGTACTGCAATGACAAAAGGCATCTGCAAAGGAAAATGTCTTAACAGCATTAAGCAGGCATAAGCAAGAATTTCTTTGGGGGGGAGGATAAATATTTGAAAGCTGAACCCAAGAAAGAACATCTTTTTTTAAATTGGAATGAAACCAAGCAGACAATTTAGGTCTCAGCTTTCCGAAAATAATGGTGGTTCAGTTTTACATGGTGGATTATAACAGAACAGTGAGCGATAGATAGATAGATAGATAGATAGATAGATAGATAGATAGATAGATAGACAGACAGATGTAAGCTTCTCACCTATGGACCTGTGTCAGTAACAGTCACCACAAACCGATGCAAATAATAAAATTTGTTTTATTACTAACATTTTTTTTAGTAACTACTATTACTAAATTTTTTTAATTCCTAAAACCCTTCAAAAAAGTCGTACTAAAGGCAGAAAAATTACTTTTGTTCAACTGGATTTGCAGAGTAAACAGACATCCAATAAACATTCCTTCATGACAGTGTGCTTGATGACACACTGTATCACACAAAGCCAGAATCGCTGTGCTGACGTAGGATTACACATGGCATCAGATTAACATACAAGCGTAGCAGCGCTATTTCATGCTATCCCAGGATAAATCATGATGGGCTAACTGGCCTTACATGTTAAAAATAACACCCATCAAATACTCAGACTAGCCTGATGCAGCTGACATTAACTTCACACAAAGTGTTCAGGAAAAACAAACTGTTTAGAAAAAAGCAGATGCACTTCACACTGAAATGACCAGAATTAGAGACTTTATACGGTACTCACCTTGTAGCAAGACATACGGATAACGCAAACTGGCAAAATGACACCAGATGAATGGAAGAAACAAGCACCTTCCTGCCTTAACCAAGTTGCCTTGGAAAGGAAGCATGATCAAAATGTATGATGTTTGGGATTTTTCCCCCATCATTATTTATTTAGATGTGCAAAGATAACAGTAATGTTACTGGATCTCTGTGGGGGCACAACGTCCCAAGATGGCACTTTCTGTCAGAAGGCTGATGCCTAAAACTGAAGGCTGGAGAAAATCATTTTACATTTCTGAGAAAAATGGTAGGTGACAATATTTTATTAGCAGAAACATTTAAGCACTGCAAGGTGCTATGAAGCAGATTAAAATCACGTTTCTTGAATTTAAAGCATTTGAAGGACCAGCCCTTCCCCCTTGGTAAGCTGGAAAGAGTCGGTATCTTCACTAAATGATTGCTAGGTTAAAGCAAAGAACTATTCCTCCTTGAGCTACACCTATTTATAGGAACATACACAGCATCCTCACTGAACAAGTTAGGATGAATTTAAAATCAAAAATAACAACAGAATTGTACACAAATATCTCAAATATTTGCAAATGCCGAATGATTAAAGAGTGAGTGATGCCTCGGAAGCTGAAGTTTAACCGAGTCGTCCAGCTTTCAGTATAAGAAAAGAGCCTTAAATTCTTTAAACCTCAGTATTCAAAGCTCATCTGCATTCTAAGTATTAGATTTCTGAAATAAGAAACCACAGCACGTGCAGTTCTAGAACTCCCACTCTGAAATACTGCTTCTATGTGTTGACTTTACAATAAGCCTCTGATCTAGTTTAATCAGAGCACTCCATCATCTGCTACATCCAGATCTAAGGCCGGCACATTCTCTGACCCTACAGGCACAATATTCTTCAGAGCCTTTATGTCATCAGTGCACTTCTGTTGTTTTTCTATTATCAACTAACTGAAACAGGACAAATCAAATTTAGTTAAGCCTGGTTTCATTAAAACACACACATGTAGAACAGAAAAACATTTCTGTATTTTTTTTTTATTTCAAATAAAGATCAGTAACAACATGCTCATGAGCAAGAAGTCATCTTAATTATCTCTCTTTAGGAGGATTAGGATTCTTCCGTCTTCTCTGATACCTAGAAGATACAAAAAAAGCTGCTGTGAATGTAAGTTTTGGAAAAATCTTTGACTTTCCTGACCTTCTTCCCTCCAGAAGCAGTTTGGAGTTACACAAGTAAGCAAAATGTAATACACACAAACACAGCCCATGACCATTCATTAGATGCCATCTCTGTTGTTCGTGAAGTTACACAACACCGCTCATTTCTGCTGTACATCTGCTACAAGCACGCAATAATCCATTCAGCTGTAGAGCTGACTGTAGATACAAAGGCTGCTTTTTACTCTTAATCCTTTGTGTGAGATTAATTTCACTGTACAGTCAGGGCTTCCTCTGACCAAAATGACTGCTACAGAATAATCTGGGGTACAAGAAGGAGTTATGTCAGACCTTACTTTAAATAGTGTAATATTCTGCAGTCATATCATTCAAAAAAATTCTTCACAACAAAGAAAGATAAACTGCATCCCTACTTTCTTAATTAGCCACCCTTAAACAAGGCAAATACAGTACGATACTCATTAAGTGACAACTACCCTCTGGCCATATGGAGCTCTACCATTTGTTTTCTTCACTTGTTCACAAAACATAACAATTAAAAAGGTTTGCAGTGTATCAAGTTTCCACAGCTATGAAATCAGCAATTACCATAAAATGTAATAACACAGACTGGAGTGGAGCTGCACATTGTTTCCAGTGGTGTACCTCAATACACAGAGTTTCTCTTTAAGCTCAGTCAGGCATGTTACATCTCTTCTCCTTGCAGCTTTCTGAATACAAAGTGCACCAAGGTACACTTCTCATCATTTCAAATGAAAAACTACTTTTTTTTTTTTGTTAAGTCTGATAATTATATGGTTTCAAGCTGTATTGGCTATATTCACTGACAGTGTGATTTCACTTATGCAATTTTAGGAAACCACGTGGAGCAGCAGCTAATTACACAATATGAGAAATTTCTACTCCATGGTATTTTACCAATCAAGTTGCAAAGGCTATGGAAGGGGCAGAATTTTTAAAAAACAAGATAATACTGTCTTCCATTTACACGACATTGCATTTAGAACTGTATGTAATAGCCCACGTGCTAAGAGTATTTCATAGGATGAGTTTGGATAAATTACAATCATGCCTGTGTTTCTCTTTATGCCCAAAAGGAACACACACTGAAAAAAAAGAAAACTTACTGTCCCACAGGGTACCACCGATGTTTTGTAGTGTAAAACATTTTGCTGAGCTCTTCAATTCTAAGTCCTCTATCATTCTTTAGCTCTTCTTCATTCAATCTGGATTTTAAAATTTGATCTAGAGTTTCTTCTTTGTTATTCACCGGATCTGGTCGCGGCACGGGCTACAAAAACAAGAACGTAAATTTCCTCTTTAGGAAGAACAAAAAGTCAAGCTGCACTGATAACATTACTATTTACTCTTTAAAGCTGAGAACAAAAGAACTGAAAAAAGAAAGCATCATAAAAGGCTCCCTCCCTTCTCAATCAAAACCACATCACTCTGGGGAGGAATTCTAGAAACATCTCATTACTGCAGGTGCTACGGCTGATTACTGTGTCCCACTGTCAGTGCTACTGCTGAGCTCTCATCCTTACAATCCACTAGCTGAACCATAAGCATCAATTTACTAACATAAAATACTCATATTATTGCTATTTATACATTTGTTCATACTGACGACCACCATTTTATCATACTAAGTTTTTAAGTTTTTATTGAAAGTTTTCCTGTGAAGTTTATGAACTCACAGAGTTGAATGGAGTTTAAAATAACAGCACTTCTTCATGTCCCCCATACTGCTGCAACTGAACACAGCAGGATGTACGAGCTATCGCCCAGATTTCCAACATCTTCTCTGAGGAGCATGCTCTTGGACAAACACTTCTTTTCTCTGTAGTGCACAACCATTTGAGTACCTCATTTAATTCACTTTGAGCAATGCTGTAAGAATCTGAGCATTTATTTGCCTGTAGCTTTCTCTCACTTCAGCTACAAGTCCTCCTTAGAGCAGCAGCTATATTCATCACTCACTTCACAGATATGCTGCTCATGTAAAGAACAGCACCTCTGTCTTTCAAACTGCAAGAAAAAACAAACAGTTGTCCTGAAGACTCAGAAATTCCTACGCTTCTACACGACTAAGCAATGTGTACCGTTGGACATACTTGTGTGTGCTCGTATGGAATCTCGAGTGAAGGGTGGTAGCAGACAATTGTCTTCGAATCTGATGTCAAGGCAAGTTCCACTTTGCTGTGAAAATAAAAAGTGACATTATTACAATCCCTTACAATTTCCAGAAATGCTGACTGACTGAGCAGCCCAATTCCCAAAGAAAACCCCATTTCATCCTCTATTTATGAATTCTTTGTAAATCTTCTATCAAATAAAACCTGAAAAAATAAGGCTCACAAGTACTCGATCTGAACTTCTTTCTTCCCCCAACTATTTCATCTTTCTTCTTTCTCCTTTTTCTTTTTTTCTTTTTTTTTTTTTTTTGATGGAAGAGAACAAAGGGATAAAATGGAGCTGTACAGACAGCTGGAAATGTGGCTTGGAAAAGCCATAGGACACTGAAGAATCACATTAAAACTAACAGCAGGTAATGAATGTCAGCGATATCTACATCGTGCCTTTATAAGAAGTGTGGTACCAATAAGAGAAAGAATAGGAAATAAAGCTCCAGGTTCCATCATTTGACAAATGATGGTAAGCATGATAAACAAGTTCTACTGACAAGTTCCTTGAGGGAGTACAGCTTTTCTCACCTTATTTCCCTGTTAACTTCTGTGACACATTAGCTTCCAAAAAACTTCTGCAGTGCAGATGTTGCAATTCTCATTGTATTTTTATCATCTTTTCCAGTTTCTACTGCAGTTTGCCATGCAGCAGCACAAAATTACCTGGGCTTTGTCTTAACAATAAGTATCTGTGAAAGTGAGTGCTCTTTCTTTAGCTCTTCCACAATTAAAACTGTAGTGCTCCTGGGCTCATCATCACAATTTAGAATGAGTCATGCATGATTGTTCATTCTGCTCATTTTTGAAACAGCAGCCTCACAATCATTATGACTGGAAACAGTACTTCACTTTAAATTATTATGCATCTATATCCAAAAGTGGCACAAGGTGTGTTTGATACCATCAGATGACAACTTGATGGCAGAGCCAGTAACATGCAACATACATCACATGAGAAGGCCACACAGGGCACGCTGACGTACCAGTTGTAGTCTTCAGGGAGCACTGAGTACGTCGATTTATGACAAGCATGACATACAGCTCCAACTGCAAGGAAAGAAAATACAAACAAGTATAAAACACTGTCTAAATAGAAGCTCACTTTACATGAAGATTTCAAAAATGCAGCATTTACATAGCTATGTCCTAGTTTTGTATTTCCATTGTACTGTATTCCTAAGGAAAAAAACACAGCTTGAACAAAACACAAATGTCACTGTTACACCTTTATAAATACATTAACAAAATAGACCCATTTTGAGGTCATATAGTATTGAAAGGGCAAAGAACATCATCATATGATTTACAGGGAAGATTATCTGATTTTTCCTTTAATTCATAGTAACAGTCACTGTTAAAATGAATTTATACTTTGCTGAAGAGTGGTATGTATGCTGTGCAAAACTACACTGCTTTGGCTGCTCTAACACTAGAGAACTCAATTCCTTCCACAAGTTCCTGTTACTCCAAGGAAAGCAATCACAAGAATTACAAGTAGTAAAGGCCACCAGCATACTGGACTTTATTAGCAAACAGACCAAGGGAAGAGATTCTCACCCTGCACTCAGCACTCACATCTTGATATTGTGGCCACTTTGGGCCCCTTCAGTAAAAGTGAAATGGAATAAATGCTGTGAATGCCCACCACAATGGCTTTTAGTTGCAACATCTGCCCTGTGAGGAGAGACTGAGGGACCAAGGCTGTTTCAACGTTTAAGCCACAGTTCTGGAGAGACCTGACAACAGACCCCAAAGGTCATAAAGGTTCGAGTGACTGAGCAGGGGGAGCCAGGCTGCTTAGAGCACTATGTGGTGGGAGGACAAAAAACACTGAAGCTGAAACGAGAGGCTCTGACTAGACAGAGAAAAAACTTTTCCCCTTGAAGGTAATCAGGGAACAGGGAGGTTTGTGCTGCCTTTCATCTGGGCAGATTTGTCCCAGAAGGACAGAGTCCTGAGCATCCTGGAGTCGATGCACAGCTGAGCCTACATTGAGCAGAAGGACCTGAGGAAATCATTCGAGGACCCCTCCAAATGAGCTTTCCCATGATTCCACTGCATAAGGTGATAAACAGCAACAGTCCTTTTTATAGGAACTGTACCATAGGCATCTTGCTTTCTACAAGCCATAAATGGTATTCTTAGCAGCCCAAGATGGATGTGGAGACAAATTCAGTGCAGTAAAGCTGGGAAGATTCAAAGAACCAAGGGGAAACTTTTCTGCAGGTGTTTTCCTTTTAGAAGTACTTTCATGTGTTAAATTCTAAAATTCAAACACAAGTTTATCTAGAAATTGAGATACATTTCAGATTTTAAAATTCTACATTTATATTTTGATCAGCACCATCATGCTTCAGTTTTCCCAAATAAACTCATCTTTACTTATAAAGATGCCAAACCTTTATAACACAGATCTTTAAAGTCCCTTTCAACCTAAGCCACTCTATGATTCTACGGAGTATAATAAAGAAGCTCTCAAAGAATAAATGCTAATACAGGATTTCAATTCCATCATCCCTTACCTCGTAGTGGGACTTGCTTACAAGCAGCTACTGAACGCATCCAGAGACAGCTGGACCACACAGCCCTAAGTGATGTTGCCATGCTGAGAGCAGATGGGAAACCAGTCCTGGACAAGATGGAACTGGAACAGACACAGTATCTTTTCGGTTCCAGAACACCCTCTGAAAAAGACCAGTTTCATAACTGTTTGGGTTACAGAGATAGACAATTTCGTTTCCTAGCTTAAGAACAAACAGAATTTGTTCAGTATGTTACTTGTTGTCAGTTTTTGGTAAGTCTTCATGATTTAAGATAAAGGCATCTGTCTCTGAAAAAGTCAAATATGGGACAAAACTTCATTAGTAAGAAGTTCTCTCTTAAGCAGCTTCACTTACTGAACAACCTCACTCACCCCAGAAAAACAACTTTCCAAGCTTGGGTCCTTCCTCAGCTCAGTTTTGCTGCTAGTGCCCACACATGCACCACTTTTGTATCCTTCACAGAATCACAGAATGGCCAGGGTTGGAAGGGACCTCAAGGATCATGAATCTCAACCCTCCTGCCACCATGCAGGGCCACCAACCTCCCCATTTAATACTAGACCAGGCTGCCCAGGGCCCCATCCAACCTGGCCTTGAACACCTCCAGGGACAGGGCATCTACGACCTCTCTGGGCAGCCTGTTCCAGCACCTCAACACTCTCACAATAAGGAACTTCCCCCTGATATCCAACCTAAATACTCCCTCCCTCCGCTTAAAACTATTTCTCCTTGTCCTGCAGTTGTCAACCCTTTCAAAGAGTTGATTCCCCTTCTGTCTGTAGGCTCCCTTTGGGTACTGAAAGGCTGCAGTGAGGTCACCCCGCAGCCTTCTTTTCTCCAGGCTGAACAAGCCCAGCTCCCTCAGCCTGTCTTCACAGGGGAGGTGCTTCAGTCCCCTGATCACCTTTGTGGCTCTCCTCTGGACTCTCTCCAACAGTGACTTCCTCTTTTTTCTGCAAGCTCCATGGAACTATTCCTGACATGCGATTTTCCTTTCACAACATACACAAGCCTGTTCCGAAAGTAATGCCTCCTATTCTATTATGTTGGCCCATAACATCAAAAGTAAATGCTGATGGTGTGTCAGTAGAGGTTGAACCTTCCCACCAGCATTCTGTTACATTTTGTTGCCTTGTGACAAATGGCAGCAGAGGGGCAGTATGACAGAATGGTGTCTGACATGGAAGTGCACATGAAGCAAAGGTGCATCAACGAATTCCTCCATGGAGAAAAAACTGCACTCACTGACATTCACTAATATGTGCTGAATGTTGATGGAGATCAAACAGCAGATGTGAGTACAGTGAGAAGGTGGGTGGTGTATTTCAGCAGTGGTGACTGAGACAAGAAAGACAAGCCATATTTTGGACACCCATGCAGATTTTTACAAGTGTGGGTAAGCAGGTTTTTATTCACTGTTAGCAAAAATGCACTACTAATGGTGGTGATTGCATTGTCATAGCTGAGAATCTGCTCTATCAAATAACATCATTGAAACCGTTGTAGTTTCCACAGAAAAAGGTTAGGAAGCATTACGTTCAGTGTGACTCTGAAGTAACCCTTGGAGTTAACAAACTGCCTAGATGCAAAACATAACTGGGGACAGCAAAACGACATGCTCGTTAACAGAAAAATATATATATAAATAAACAAACAAACAAAAAAATCATTCAGCGCTTCAGAACGCCTCCACAGCGTGCGGTCGGCAGCCCCTACCCGCTTCCCACCCGTTTACCCGCCAGGAGTGCCGCTGCCGCAAAGCCCCATGCACCGCTCGTGCCCCGCTCTGGCCGCTACCGGGGAAGAGGCGAGACGCTGCTAGAGGGCCCCGCGCACACAGCCCGAGACAAAGAACGTCTATCTACAGATATAACGTGCTTATCTACAGAAAGTATTAATCTGAAAGAAAATCAGTCCCTAATCCATCACGGCAAACAAGAGTGCCCGTTGTAAAAGCCGACCTGCAGAGCACTACATACCAACGGAACGCCTTCATCCCTCAGTACGCAGCTCCGGCCGCAAAGACAAGCACTGCACCAATACGAACCCCCTTCTCCTTCAGCACTGACAGCAGCGCCCTTCCGCTTCCGGCGCCCCTCTGCTTCCGGTGTCCTTACACTTCCGGTGTGCCCTCCCGCTTCCGGTGTACTTCCTCTTCCGGTGCACGCCCCGCGGCCCGCTGGGAGGTGTAGTCCGGTTGTTCCCTGGTGCTTTCGTGTCTCTGGCTACGGTGTACAAGTTTCACGTAGCAACCAGTGGAAGCCTCCCAGTTTCAGCAGCATCTCGCTATGTCCTGCAGTTGTGGAGCAGGTGGTGACACTGACAGCTTTCCGGAGTCCAGCAGGAGCAGAGCCAAGAGCTGAGCATTCCCACCGATCGGTCCCATTAGCAGTGACAAACGTTCACTTTCAGATGTTTTCCATGTCAGTTTCCCCTCTGCTCAGCTCTTGTGAGGCCCCGTCTGCAGTACTGTGTCCAGGCCTGGGGCCTCCCCTACAGGAAGGACGTGGAGCTCTTGGAGTGGGTCCAGAGGAGGGCACTAAGATGATCAGACGGCTGGAGCATCTCTCCTAAGAGGAAAGGTTGAGGGAACTGGGATTGTTTAGCTTGGAGAAGAGAAGGCTCCAG